TATGTTTTCAAATAATTATTATTTTTTGATTTTTTTTTCTAAATTAAAGATTTAGAGGCAATATTTATATTTATCTATAATATTTTTTAAAAAAAAGTAAAAATTAAAATGAGATTTTTTGCAATTGGATAATTAATTAAAGTGACTAGATAATAATAAGATTAGAGTAGTAAAAAAATATTTACCTTGAAAAATGAAAAATAATAATTAATTTGAGATAAATTTAAAATAAAAGAATCATAGTTATTTTGAAACATATAAAATAGTTTTATTAAGGATATTTAATAAATTCATAAGTTGACTATGCATTTAATATACCATCCAACTTGTAAAACATTTTTGGTTACTCTCTTTATCTTAAAATAAATATCATTTTTTCATTAAGGTAGATAAATTTTATTTTTTTCTTAATTTAATTCTATCATTATCTATCCACTTTAATTAATCATCCAATTCTCTTTATCTTTTATTTAATTTTTAAAGGTATTATATATAAGAGTTTGTCTAACTTATACTATTAAGGTATAGTTAAGGTACAATAAATACACTATTTTATAAATAATTTGCATAACAAATCATAAAAGTTGACTTTTATTTTAAAATCATTGTAATATAGATAGTTTTAATTGATTATTTACCCTATATTTAGGTTGAGGGGAATGGAGGGAAGAGGAATTTTTTCCCTTCATTCCCCTCATCTCCGCTCCCTTTTCTTCCTTCCCATCATTTAGATAAATAACTAACTTAAAAAAAATAATAATAAAGGGAATTTTTCTCCTTTCTTCTCCTCCAATTTTTTTGGTAACTGAATATAAACTAGTCATGGCACCATTAGAACAATAAAGAAACATAGAACTGTTAGATCGAGCCTAAGAAAAACCTTGAATAAACAGAAAAAATGCAAACCTCTGAAATCAAGCACGAGGCGCCTGTTTCAAACCATAAAGAGTATGATTCAACCAGCAAATATAATTAGGATATTTCGAATCAATAAACCACGGAGGTTGAGAGATATATACAACCTCAAAAAGGTACCCATTAAGAAAGGCATTCTTAACATCAAGTTGATGAATAGGCTACGAAGACATCACTAGTAGTGTTGTGGGTAGATAGGGAGAAGTAGGAGGGAGAGGAAGAATAGGGGTAGATGATGCAAAAGACACAATAGGAGGGGAAGGGGTAAAAATTGTAGAAAGAAACAGAGAAACAATTGAGAGAGAAGGAACAAGAGTAGGGGGAAAAGAGGAAATAGGAGAAGTAGAGGAAGGGGACAAAGAAGAAGAAGACGAAGACTCATTCATGACATAGGGGTACAGCAAAATAAGAAATCTAAGGGTTTTAGAGTTATTTGGTGCTAAGAAAAAGCTTTGATACCATGAAGAATATTTAGGCTGAATTGTTGATCTCACTAGATTAGAATCAAGGTATATATGTACAAGATATATAGAAGTATATTGACATTTCTAACCCTATCCCATGTACATGTGTATTATGATAAACATTATCAGTACATATTAAAAAAATCTCATACTAAGTGAGGGGCTCACTCCCATCCTTTTTTATTAAATTTTAAGAACAGGAATATAGGGATAATTTTTTTATATAATATTTTTATATAATTTTTACATATTATTAAATAAATATATATTTAATATCACGAGTTTTAAATAAATAAAAAAATTAATTGTTTAAATGACATGTAATATTATATCAAAAAATAATACAAAAACATTACACTTGAATCATTTTTTAAATTTGAAAAAAAAAAAAAGTGAAGTCACGAAGTCTATATACGTGTCCTTCATATAAAGTAAAAATGAGGAAATTAAAAAAAAAAAAAGAAGAAGAAGGAAAACGGTTGTTCAGTGGCCCAGTCCGGTTGTTTGGTCTGGGCCTAGGCACCGAATCCCGGCTCAATAGTTTTCGATCTTGGACCGTAATTTAAGTTTTGGGCCAGAAGCCCGTTTCAATTGGCCCGAAATTCAAATTTTAGGCCGGCTTTCAGGCCACTCCAAGAGGGGTGCGAAAGAGTTTTATTACCAAAAAGGAAAAAAAGAGCAGTGTTAGGGGCACTCGCTCCAGCGCTTGCTTTTGAACACTCTCCCCTTCGTTTTGCCACGTGACCTAGGAAATTAAGACATTAACCTGAACCGGCGGGAGCAATGCTAGGGGCACTCGCTTTTCGCACTCTCCGGCCAGCACTTCCCCTTTCATTGGGCCACGTAAGCTTCTTTAAGCTTTCAGGTGCAACTTCTACGGAACCAAGATAACGTGGCCCAATAAAAGAGAAAGTGTTGACCCGAGAGTGCGAAAAGCGAGTGCCCCTAGCATTGCTCGAACCGGCAATTACCAGGGACGGAGCTAATGAAGGACAAGGGGGGGCGGCGGGCAGCCGCCCCAAACTTCTGAAAAACATTTAATATGGTACTTTAATTTTTATTTGTTAAAAATTTTGGTTTTATAGTATGGATTTTAGGGATCATTTCAAATGTAGAGAGAATATTTAGGATCTAAATAAAGAAACTTCCAAAAAATAAGGATATGATTTAAATAAAATAAAATTTATGACAATTTAATTAATTAGGAATTGAGGTTATTAAACATTTCCTT